CATCATGCCCTTTTTTTCCCCTTGGTCTCACAGAGAAGCTGTCCCCAGAGAGAGTGAAAATAGTGATGGAGCACATTTGGAGGATGCAGGAGTTCTGTAACAGCGTGTCCAAGCTTTCCCCCGACTCGTATGAATATGCCTACCTCAAAGCTATTGTACTCTTCAGCCCTGGTGCGTAGACAATCCCCCCCGATTTGCACAAAAGCAGATTCCTTGGTGTACTCAAGTCTGACTGTGCATATACATTATTTTTTGTAACAGATCATCCGGGCATAGATAATATCCCACAGATAGAGAGATTCCAGGAAAAAGCCTACATGGAGCTGCAGGACTATGTAACCAGAACATATCCAGAAGACTCTTACAGGTTTGTAGGCTTCACCTCTGTGCTGCATAACGCCGGCAATGCTGGAAACGCACCATAAGTTTTTTAACTCTTAAAAAGCTGTGTGTGTGTGTGTGTGTGTGTGTGTGTTGTTCTCGTAGATTTACTTGTTACATGTTGAATTTGATGTCTGTTTCTCATCAATCCCAGGTTATCCAAGCTGTTGCTGCGTCTCCCTGCCCTCAGGCTGATAAGTGCAGCTGTCACCGAGGAGCTGTTTTTCGCTGGGCTCATTGGCAACGTGCAGATTGACAGCATCATCCCTTACATCCTCAAAATGGAGTCCACTGATTATAATAGCCAGGCCGCCTCTGCTGTCTGACGCGCAGCTATTTATTATAGCGACACGAGACTGAAGATTCAGTGGCCGCCTATTCACGTCACTGAAAGGTCATAACATAATGACCGAGTTTAACTTGTGAATTTTTTTTTTCACATCTTAACTTTGTCCTTCATCTGACCCCTTAGGAACCTGTCAGTAGAGCGCAGCTCACAATTAGGACAAATAAAATCAACTCCCAATTGCAAGGAAGCCTATCTGTATCTGCCTGTTCAGGAACAAACCCTTTGAAACTTGGATGGTAGGCTTGGTGCGTGCTTTTTATTGTACATAATATTTTATCCTTAAAAGACTCCAGGCCTTGTGTTTTTTTGTTTTGTTTTGTTTTTTGGCAAATCTTGTTTGTACTTTTGACGACATCAGTACGGTTCGTTTTCATACACAGCTTTTTTAATAGTGGTAATTATTAAGTAATTAAGAAAAAAAAAGTTGTCATAATGTGAACTGAATTGTGAGATCAATTAAAGTTAAAACTTTTATTTTTCATTTGTTTGCCAGTCCAAAGGATCGGCAACATCGCTTTTCAAAAAACTGACGTCATCTGGATCTGAAGTATTTGTGTATATAGCTTTGTATATAGAATTGACCAAGGCTAACGGGCAGCACTTGGTAGTTCGTGGGTTTCATCTTTTTTTGGACAAATTCACACGAACAGAAAATGATGGTCATATCATTTGAAAATAAAAACATCTTTCAAACATGATTGTCAGCAGGAGTTGACGGCACTGATTATTTTGAATGAATGATACTTTTATATAGCGCACACAAATATAACACGTGTTTTGCACCATTACCAGTCATGTTAAGAAAACTTTGCACATAAACAGGTTTTGTTTTCATTATCATTCAGTTTTAGGTGAAAATATTTCAGTCATGACTGCAAAAGTGCTTTAAAAATACAGCCTCACTGGAGAAAGACAACAGCTTGTGAATTGTGATAATCTGCAGATGGATGAACATTCATACTTCAATAAGAATTTAATAGTGTAGTTGTTTACATATTTACCTAACAAGCAAAAGTTCCCAGATTCATTTGCAGGAGGAGACATAAATCCCTTTGGGGTTGCATCCAGTGCACAAAATCATGCAGAGTTGCCTGCTATGGTGACCCCGTATGAATAAGGCAGCATCTGAAAGTAGCTTTCTAGAAGTAAATGAGACAAATGTTCTTGAGCATGCAGAGACAAAGCTCAAACACCATTTTAAACACCTTTCTCATGAACTAAATCATTCTCAGAACGAAACTGGCTCAAAGTGGTTGACCACAAGGGGTTTGTAAACCCACTGTCTCATGCAAAGCAGAAAAGCCCACTTCCAAAAGGCCATTTAACTGAGATCTATTCAGAACTTCACAGAGAAATAACGCTAACCCTAGCTATGTACTCATAAGTGCAGAGGGCTGATCAGGTGATATTTGTCACATTTATATTTTCAGCGGCTTCCTCTCCACCACAGCGCTGAAAGCATCCAGTTTGCAGCCAATCCCAGAGCCAGCCTTCCTAATCAGTTTATTCAGTCTGTTCAGTGTCACCAGCTCTGATGCTGTCCCCCAGCAGAGTACACAGTGCTTGCCACAGCTTAGTGATAGAAAATCTCCCATCATTTTGTGGCACACACTGAGAGATATCATCTTACCTGGGAAATCAAACTTACTACTCCGCTTTCTGTACACAGCTCTTTGTGTTGGTCCTGCAGTTCAGCCTGTTGTAAACAATGATGATGACAATGGTGGTAAAAGTATAACTTCCAGGGGGGAATAAATGTATTTTGTCAGACTTTTCTCTATATAAGTACATTTAAGTAATGCTTCAAAATAAGAATTTCAGGATGTCTCCTGAGTTGCAAGACCTGTTTCTAGCAGGACTTTGGTTTCACTCAGTCTAAATGCTAATTCTTGGAAGCTGAACCGCTTCTATAAACACACCAGATTGTTTACATGTCCCTTCTGAATTAGTAATACAAAATCTGCATCCTGCCCAACCGACTTATTGTTGTGTTTTGTGTCAAATGACATGACGGTGGAAGATGTTGCAGGGCGCTGTGCTTACAGCTTGTGTTATAAGCTCATCAATGTTTAATCAGAGCTCAGCGCATATACGTAACTGAACGGAGGACAGTGTCTGCAGGCTTTGTGGTAGTTACACCATGGGTGTGTCCAGCTAATTAAAAGCACAGATAGGAGCATTAAAACTTGATGAACAAATGAATGATGTTGTCTGCTGCTATTTTTTGGAAGTCCATTGTCCAGTGTATCCCAGAAGCTTCTTTGTGTGGTTCTCCTTAGTCCTGTCAAACTAGTTCATCGCTTTATTCACCACCTTTGAACTGCATAAGCTCCTGCATATCAATGTGTGATGCAAACCAGTTAAGAAATGGGAAACAACACGGTAACTGTTAAGGTTCGGGGATTTGTGATGCAACACGAGCCTGAGTGTTTATGGTGGATTAGCTCATTCTGAGCTGAATCTGAATGAAAGAACCAGTTGGGTTGTTCTCATGGCCTCTGGGGTGTCTGTGCAGCTGGGAGGGGTGAGGAGGAGGAGGGGGGGGGGGGGGGGGGGGGGTTGAAAAACAAGGTGACAGAACCGGTTATATGTAAGCCAGATTCTTTTACATCAAATTGAAATACTTCTTGGAGGGAAACATCAGCACGATATGTCAGTTATGCTGTCGGTTTATCTAAAATGATCAAACTTGCTGTGAGTATCATCAGGCCAAACCTCCTTCCTTCCTGTTAGGCCTGCTGATTGTCTGGTTATAGATACATGCAATCATCACCCTATTTTACAACATTTTTCACTTTGCAGCGTGTACTGCTTAGTTTTCTTCCGCATTTTGACTGCCACCCTGTTTTTCACCACTTAAGCTGAAATATTATCACGTAATAACGGTTATCACATTTTTTTGCACTTTTGCACTTTCATTTCTTGTATTTATTTTTGCACAGTTTTAAAAATGACCGCATCGTTCAATGGAATTAACCCTACAGTAAGAAACAAAGGGTTTGTTCCCCACAAGTAATTACTTTAATAGTTTATATAGATTGGTTTTGAATACATGTTCATCAGTGTATTTTTTACAACGACACAGTAAGTAATATCTGAGTGAATCCTCATGCACTTTGTGATACTTAAATTTTCAAAACTTCATAGCTCAGAGGAAAATAAAACACTTTTTTTCTTTTTCACACCACAACAACACCACATTAACAGCTGGGTACTAGTAACCCAGTTTCAGTACTACTTCTTTTTTTAACTGCTCCCTTCAGTGGCCCCTACTGCAGATCATCCGCACCCTTCTCTACATGTCCTCCTTCATGACATCCATGAGATTCTTTGATGTGTGTTGATCCATGCTCAATCATCCAGCTCAATCCCAGAAAACTCTGTTCACTTTTGGTCGTAGGAACATTTTCATCACTCATCCAAGTGACTTCTTCACCCTCCTCTGTTGTCCTTTCTCCCTCCATATACTATATTGGACATCCTTTGTCCAATATAGTCACTCTCCCTCCTCTGCACATGTCTGAACCAAGTCAGCCAAGTGTGCCTCCTTAACTTCGTCTCCAAACCACAGTCTCCAACTCATCCTTCTATCTTTCAGTCAGTGCTGCCACCTCCAAACCACACATAGAATACAGTAAAATTCAACTTTATTGTCATTGCACATGCACAGGTACAGGGCAACGAAATGCAATCTGGTAAACCTTCCCTTTCTCACTTTACTAAATTTAAAAACTCAGCCCTTCAGAAAATGTATGCATTATTCAGCTGACTGAATGACTTAGGTAATGCTCTGTAGGGTAAGTAGAACCCAATTCAGGATGTGCACTTTGATACTTCAAGAGCAACAAATGAGCTTTTAAACTGATATTTGCAACAGTAATTTTAAACCACAGTCCTTCAGCTTTTACTCTAGCAAATGCTCTCAAGAGTTCAATCGATGATAACTAGATTGCCTGCTTATAATGCATTTTTTCCCCTTTAATAACACATGTAGGCTAAGTGGGTTAAATATTCATAAGTTATTATCTACTTTTGCTTTCCAAAACGAGATTCCTCCATTTATAATATATCTAAAACCGTATTTAATGCGCACATTTCTAACTACAGTACCTTAAATTGTTGTGGTAATAAAGAGAAAGAGAGAAAAAGAGTTTCAACGCTGTGTTATCTTCAGCAGGCAGGTACGTGTGTTTAAAGAGTTAACCCCTCCTCTTTCAGCTGAGCCACCCTTCAGAGAGACGAGTGGGCGGGGTTTAGGTTCACGCGCAGTTTTGTTGAAGGGAGCAGCCAGTGCACGGGTGAGTGAGTGAGTAAGGGAGTGAGAGAGAGAGCAAAAAAGGGGGGCTAAACATGGATACGAGTTTAGGCGACAGTTGTAAACTAGTCCTGACACCGAAGTGACGACCCACCAGCTCCTAACTGGCCACTAACTGGAGGTTATTATGCCCAGCGCAAACGTGTCCGTGCGAAGTTTGTCCGAAGTCGAGAAATACCTCAGCAGCAGCACCAGCAGCAGCCGGATGGTGAGTGTGTGAATGACTGTTTTTGCAGCATTGTTGTGTGATGAACGGCAGGACCCGTACTGTACCAGCGATGCATTGTTGCCTCTCGAGCTCCACGTCATGTGAAACCGACAGCTGCGCCGCTTTTAAAGCTGCGTGTTTCCCCGAACAAAGAGCTTTCAGTGAGCCGCTCTCATCAGATACTGTAGAAAAGGGCATGTCTTCATGGGGATGTGAAGGGACTCCGAGGCTGTGAACTCCGGGCTACCGAAAGCGGTTGATCCTATGGTTTAATAATAATCTGAAAAGTTTTATTGATTCTTAGAGACACACGCCCACCACTCCTAAATATGGTTTCTAAACACAAGGGTGGTAAGTTTAGTGGAAGCATGCAAACATATTAAACCAAACAAACACGTGACTCCTTAATACATATTCCATGCATTTGTTCATTTTCGAGGCTATGGTTTGTGATCCTGCTGTGTTGCTCACAGGTGTGGAGTCTGCCCGATATGTGAGTCAGCCTAGGCCAATATTGGGTAAATGTTCAGTAAGGCCAGCTGGTATGAGGACCAGCTTTAAGTTGCGAACAAGTTTATGAAACGTATTGTTGGAAAGTAAATTATGAGCTGGCCATTTTCCCCCATTGTTTCCAAGAATATTGGCTGGGTTATCAGTTTTGCTATCAGCAGAACTAATAGTCTGAGCGGAAACTTAATAGCTTAGGTAGTGTGTTTGTTATAAGCTACTGTACTGCGCTGCGTCTTACAGGTGCTTCTGTGTTTGTGCTCAGTGACTCAGTTCATAACCTTGTTTTTAAAGGGTAAAAAAACATAAACTCTCATCCATCCCCACCTTACTGACATGCACAGCTGTGAAAAAGTGGTAAGGGTTAACTTAAAAACAAAAAACAAACATATTTGGACACGTAAACAGCTTATTGTCTTTTAAACAATCAAAGAGATATACTCAATCAAGTGATACATAAAATCAATATTTTCTAGTGATTTCTCCCAATTTAAGCAAATAAAAAGCAGGTCAGTCACACAGAAAAGGTAAATACGCTCCCCGCATTTATTCGACTTTCAAATCAATTAGAATCAGTGCCTGCTGTTCCCTTTGCAAGTCTGTCATGATGATTGCTCGTAAATTTGAAAGATCATCAATTCTTTCTTGGAAAGATGTTCACTTTAAAGAAAAAATCTAAAGTAAGTACTGAATATTTAACATGTAATATGCGCACTCACTGCTAATTTTCCCAGGAAGCTGGTGTCAGAGACTGATAAGAAACTATGCAAAGTACCTACAAGAAGTCGGTTCCTCTACAGGGGACAATACAAGTTTCTCAGGCGAACGGCTTGCTTACTGACTTTTTCCACCAGGGAATTTTTTTGCTGAATCGGTCTTTGTAAAAACAGCTATGGTGTTGTTCAAATACAAACCTTAATCACGCAAACACTGTATCAAATATTTGCTTGTTCAGAGCAACCTATTCTGATTGGATTTATTTACTATTTCACAACCATATGAGGATCCCAGCTCATCTATATTAAAGCGATAACAGCAGATATTTAAAGGAAACTATACCATAATATATTCTTTTGATAGCGCAGTTGAGTTTTCTTTGTGGTCAGCGACCACATAAGTTAGGATTTCAGATGTAGATGAAGGGTAAGGAGGATTATATCACAAAATCTCCTGATGACTCATATTACAATTTCATGAAAGTAAGGAAAAAAGAAAGTTTTTATTTATATGCTTATATCCTCAAAATCTTAAGAGTACACAGTATCAGAATGGCACTTAACTCAAGTCCCATGACAAGTCTTTTAGCTGAAAGAAACTTGACAAAAGTAGCTAACTAAAACTGGGTGGATAGGGGGAAAACCACACGAGGAGTCAGAAGTCCCCTAATGGCTGGGGCAGATCTGTTATCTGTTAAAAGCCAGAAACTTTAACACATAAAACGTGTGATTCTCTCGCTGCTTCAGTAAAGTGGCATGAAGCAGCAAACTGTTTCTCATTTTCAGTATGAACCTTTACATCTGACACCCAGTCACTAAAAAGTGCTATTACGGGTTTTTTCCCCCTTTTTTTTAGGTTCCTGTTAATAGACTGAATTTAAACTGAATTAAGAGTATAAGTAATTGAAATCGATCACTTCTCCCTGGAGTACAGCTTGAAAGAATCATGCAGAATAACTTTATAGCCGGATTCTTATATAAGCAGTCAGACCAGTTTTGTTATAATCGCTAACACAGTAAAGTGGATCAGCTCATCTGACTGTTAGCTGGTTTATTAATGCTGTGCTGTGTAGTTTTGCTTTTCCTCATTTTGTTGCCCGTAAATGGCATTCCAGTTTTGTTTCTCAAAAAGCCATTGTGCAGCAGATATAGTGGGTTAGAGGCCAAAAATGATGCAACTTGGCTTTTCGTGGCTGGCTTCCAGAGACTGCCTTTAACCCTTACTGAGTGGTGGCTCTGCTGAGATTGTGGCATTTCTCCGTGACCCAGCTCTCCATATGTGAACTGTGCCCTTTACCTGTAATGCTATTCTCGCATGCGTGTTATCGTGCAAAAGGTGCACATTGACCTTCACGTCGGCATAATATTTACATGTTGTGCATTGTATGCCAGAGTCCTTAAATAAAAGTTTTTAAAGTAGGTCCTGTGTGTTTCTTTTTAAGGCTAAAGAAGTGCTTCAGTCCTCAGTGGCTCTGTGATGTAGTGTTTTAATGAAAGATCTCCTGTTCGATGCCGGGAGGAGACACGAATCCTTTTAGTGTTGTTTCAGGAAGAGCACCAGTGTTATAAAAAAAAAAATCTGCCAAACCAAACATGCAGAGCTACCTGCCGTGACACCTCGCGAATAAGGGAGCAGCCGAAAATATCTTTTGAAGTGTTCGAGTCCTCGCCAGCCTCGTTACATCAACGGTTTTGGTCACTTGAATATAGTTGCGTATTTATCTTAATTGAATCCCGCTCAATACTCTCTCAGTCACTGGAGGCAAGCAGGCACTAGTAAGTGTTAATGGACTATTGATTTAGTCCTGGAGCAGCTTGTCTTCTAAGATAATAGTGAATATGTCTTAAGCAATTAATTCCCCTGACCCCCTGGGGATCATTCATTCAGGGAATTTAAGACTTTAGACTCTGTTGCAAGTTTCCCCATTCCTTTTAGTCCAATAAGGTGCACAGTTTGGCCCCTCAGTAAAGAAAGCAATCAAAGTTTGACCACATATGCAGCTGTGGGATGCAGATGAGAGGAGAGGGGGGAGACGCCGGGTCAGGTTTTTTTAAAATGAAAGATGTGCTCCTTGTCCCTCTCACGCTCCATATCGCTGGTTTTCTTCCTGTTTCCCTGTGTGAGCCCTGAGTGGGAGAGCGTCTGTATCCATGAGGATCAGCTGGAGGGAATACCAATAAGCATCGAGGGCTTCTTCCCCTCTGTGATTCTGTTCTCGGCTGAAGGGACGGTTTTGTTCCATCTCTTCAAGTGTGCCAGCTCCGTTGCCTTGTTTGTGCGTGTTTACTTGGGCGTGCCAAGAGCCAGTGACAGCACACCAAACACCAAATGTTTTGTCATTTGGATCCAGTTACATCAAACTGGTGCAAACACCTGTGCTTGTATTTGAATGTGCTTGTGCACTTGCATGACCAGGCCCTGTGAACTGATGGTTTCTCTAGATTGCAAAAGGGATTGTGAGTACTAGCAAACATTACTTCCTGGTATTGGGGACAATGTGTTCCTGTTTGCATAAGAAAATGTCTGTGGTTATAATAATGTTCACTCAAACTGAAAGGGGCAGTGGGTTCAGCAAGATGAAAAGAAATCAGCTGCACGTTCAATCAATCTAAACGGATATTTATTTTAGCCATACTACTCAGAATTTAGTAAACATCCTCTGCATATCCACCCAGTTCTAAATAATTTGTGAGCTCTCACCCTTGCTCTTCCTCAGAACTTAAATGCTGAATTGCTGCTCAGTCTGTTTCTCGTGGTGGTGCAGTGGGCAGATGAGTGCGAGGCCTGCCTTTGCATGAAAAATTGAATCACTAACTAGATCATTGATCCAAGAGAGAGTACACTTCAGTGCAAGATAAGCAGCATCTGCAGCGACTTTGCCCTCGAACTGTAGCTAAGTTTTGAGTGGGTTTTCTCAGGCCTAACAACACACAGCGTTTCCTTGTTGGGTTAAGATTGAGGCTAATGCAGATGGATCTTTATGTTATGCTGTCAAGCGAGGTCAGGGCTTATTAAATGGGTCATGGTGCTGGACAGACTCTGTGTGCTATGTAGGACAGCGTGGGAGGGGGAACAGGGGGCTCATGCAGGGTTGAGTTGTGAAGGAGGCACCCTGAGGGCACGGAGGACTCCTGCTGATCCTGCTGTTGGAGATGATGATGATGATTGGGATGATGTGTGCTGCTGAGCTCTGTTTGGGGGCAACCTCTGTTCCTGTCCTTTTTATATCTGTTTCAGTTCTCTCTCTCTGCCTTGTCTCCAGCTCTCTGTTTTCTTCTTCTTCTGCTCTACTGACACACTAAAATCTATTTGTGAGTCAAAACACCAATGGGCGTATTGCCTGGCTTGCTAATTCAAAAGACAGCATCTCGAAGACTTTATTTAGGGTGAGAACACACCTCATTTGTAGTGATAAAACATATTTTAAAGGCACGATTAGAGGGGATCAAAAATGTAACCGGGATCTCACCGGTCTCTGGCTGCGCAAATGTTTTTGGAGAAAGTGAGTGAAAAGTAGGGCAGCTCCTCAGCAGATTTGGGGAGGACATTTTCATCAGCGTGAGCCAACTTCATTTAGCAGGACCACTCATCCGCAGAGACCTTCAGATTGCTCCTGCGGTTATTCAGAGTGGTTCGAAATTTTAAGTAGCAGCAGCAGTGGTGGTGCAGATGTGCTTATTAAATTGAAATGATACAATTTCATCAATCTCGTGTGAGGAAATTGCCAGCTGTCATACTTGCAGATGGTTTCCAGAATGTAAAAAATGTCTGGGTTATGTTATTTAGGTCGCTCTCACGATTATGGCCTCATCCAGTTAAAAGACACTTATGTTTATATCACAAAGTTCCTTGTTTTATAATTTTTAAGCTTGAAATTCAGGTGCAGTACAAGTGTGGAAGTTTTATCAATACCCTTTACATAAATCTTACTGCAGGCCTCGGCAGTGATTCACCAGTGGTTGCCAGGTTTCCATCTGATCTATTTTGCACTTGTTCCATATTTATGTTATCTCAGCACATTGAAGCAACAGAGTAAGACCCCTGTGCTCAGTGTTTAGCCCCTAATGGTGCAGAGGACAATATTGAACATTTCCAAAGAAAATGCTAGTGGTGGGAGAGCGCCTGAGGAGCTAGCTTTGTTCAAGCACTGCAGAAATAGCATGCAGTCTAAGCTGTCTGGTGGAACAGGCAGTTCTTTGTGACTGTCATATGAACTCTGAAAAGATTTGGTAATTTGAGTGAGCAATACAGCAGCTTACTTTACACTTCCTCTTAAGCGAGGCAACATTAAGTTTCTCATTGTTTTGTATGGAAATCAGGTTTGACTAAAAGGTCGGTTTATATGTGAAACCTATTGTTTGGTGGAGAATTAGAGCCTTCACAGCCGATGGGGCAAGACCACAACTGGATGCAGGGTTCGTCTGACTTTACGTCAGGCCAGTGATTCAATATGCAGTGGCTCAGTCCTGGACAGGGCAGAGGTAGAACATGACAAAGTAAGCTTTTTTCTCTGCAGAGAAAGACTTCTGTGTTCAATAAGGACAGATGCCAGAGAGAGTGTGAGAGTAGGATGAGGACAGAGGCTGAAAAAAACCCTGGCTTGCTTGTAGAAATAAGCGTGCTGTTCTCCAGTTACACACTACACATAATGAAGAATATACTGTGTAATTACAGACAAATATATATATTTATATATGTGTGTGTGTGTGTATAAATGAGATTAGTTTAAATCCATGATGGCAGCTTAATGCTGATTTTGCCTTTGCAACAGGCTCATAATGATGTTTAACAAGTGTAATTGTTACTGTTTTCACAATCTTAGCTGAGCCTGTTAGGATTCCAACATTTGCTGATTTGCACTAAATCAGTGATTCTCTAATAGATGGATGCTGTGGAGTTAGTTTGTCCTCTTCATTCCTAGAGGAAGTAATGGATCTGTCAGCTCAGCCATCACAGTTTGCCACCATATTTTTTTTTTTTTTGTTTTTTGAGCTGATCATGTTATCCCAGTGGTGTCCTTCTTAGAGGGCTCAGTTCAAGGGGAGCATCCAGGATGGGTGAAATGGTCTGATACTAACATGGCTAGCTTGAATCTTATATTATAATAAATAAAACAACAGTTTAACTTTAGCTTTTAAGTTTTTGTTTGTGTATTATTAAAACATGATTAGTTCGCTGATTGTTGATTAAAGTATACTTGTTTCTGGGGTGGAAGTAACTTTTTGGACTTTGAAAGCAGAGACCGAACAGAACACGTTTGAGGAACATGTCACTAACCATGCCATTAGTGGCATTGTTGACTTTTTGACCCGATGATGGCATTACAAAGTCACGATACATATTATACATATTCCTGGGATCACAGATATGTATATATAAATTATGTCACAGTTCATCCAGTGGCTGCTGAGGATTGCAGTCTGCACCAACGTAACCACCAGCTTCTTCTAGTAATAATCAGTTCTTCCCTAACTTATCAGGCTATCAAACAAGTTTGACTAGTTGAGCGTGAAGTCATAGTGCCAGCAGCAGGTAAATGGAATTTACCTCCTTTACCTGACCTCATACTCTGTTTACAGGAAGTAAACTGAATTTACTTGTGTAATAGGATACCTTGAATGAATAGCAATGAATAAAACAGCAGCGTAACCTCACTTTGTATGTTTGATTGCATATTATCAATGCTTGATTAATTAACTGATAGTTGATTAAAAGTCTTTTTTCCTGGTGTGGAAATAATTTTTATTTTTGGACTTCTAAAGTTGCTGCCAGAAGTTCCCTTTAAGAACAAGGCACTGAACATGCTATTAGTTGCGTTGATAGGTAGGTTAAATATTTTGGAAAATTGCCTTGTTGCCTGATGATGGCATTACAACACCAGTAGATATATATTCCTGGAGTCATAGTTATGTGTGCTAAATCATGCAGCATGTCATTCAGTGGCTGCAGACTGATTACAGTCTGCATCAACGTGACCACAAGCATGGCTACAAATATACGTGAAGCTGTTTGTGCTTGTTCACTGTGGTACAAACACAGTGTGCTGCAGTAATAATCATGTCATTAGATTCTTGCCTTCACATTATTAAACAAGTGTGGCTAGTTTGGTGTGACATCATAGAGCCAACAGCAGGTAAATCCTATTCACCTGTGAAATTGGATACCTTGAATTAAGCTGAATTCAGAGAGATGGTCCCGCTGACTGTGTTTTTGTTTTAGTCTGAGCAGTGTTTTTCAGTGTGTGCACCAGGCACGTACTCATACATCATCCTGTAAACCTTCTCTCGAGGTTCACGTGGGAGTCATGTGTTGAGAAGTTTCATTATGTGGTTAACTGTGGGTGCATTTGCTGATGTCAAGATACTTAGCTTGCAATAAGTGACCATTACGTGGCGATGCTGAAATGCTAAGCAAGATTGAGCCTGCTTGAGTTAGCTGTTTATTTACTAACTAGCGGTGTTACATTTGTTAAGGATTAGTGCAGTTTTGTGCCGCCTATAGTGCTTATTGTACAACACTTAGTGTAAGGCTTTAATAGCTTACACCCTCTTTCACTACAGGGGTGTTGCACTGTGATCAGCTTGCAAGACGAAATGGTTTGTTGAGCCACCGATGGGCTGCAGATTTTTTTTTACACTTTAAGCGACACTTCTGCTCTTTAAAGTGCAGCTTAGAAGCATGATTACATTTTTGCTTCTCTGCTTTCCTACAGTTTCCTCATAACGGGATGTCTTCTAGTTCCCTACTAAATGCAATCTTGCTTACTCAGCCTGTATATATTATGCTTACTTCCTCAAGCCTGCAACAGAGTACAAAAAGTGAGCATAACATTCAGCTTTAATCACAAAAAACGGTTATTAACTGTAAAACTAGGGTACATTGTCTGGAATAGGGATTTTCTGCTGCCTTGCGCCTTTGTGTGACATTATCACTGACCTACATTAGATGTACATGCTCCACTTCTTTCACACATACTAAGAGTAGTTGTATGAATTTTGTCAACTGTTTTTTTAATCTATATTATAAACAAACAGGATTAAATTCTGGCTCTTAAAATGTAACAGATTTTCCAAATAAGAGCATTATAGACACACCCAGATGGCCTCACAGTGTGAAATGCTGAATAGTGCTCGAGCCAGAGATTACTATGTGGAAATATTGTATTTTCTTGAATGTATCTAAGAAAATAATGATGTTTACCCCAATTATTTAAGCTAGTAATTTGAAGCAAATGAGCGCCTGAAAACATTATCGGATTCATAGTATGAGCAGTTGGTCACATGTGCTTTTACTTTACAGCTGCAGCTGTAGATTGTAATGCTTAGTTAAAAATGCTGACCTACTTTTAGGTTGTTTAGCATAGCTGTGTCTCTGTGATAATGATAAAGACCCTCTGTATTAAAGACTCGTACCCAGGAAGTGTACATGTAATTTTATTGTCGAATAAAATAATATGATCAAATTTAAAATTGGGGCCAAAACTAGAAAACAGGCCCTGATCTTAAAAAAGGGTAAAATAAAAACCTTACTTTTTGAATTCAGACTTTTTTAGTTGGAAGTCCTGATAAAATATTTACTTTCCCAGAATGCTGTGGGTTTTTTTATTTTTTTATTAAGCAGAGTAAAAGGTAGTAAAAGGTCCTTCCTGTAAATGCACCAGTTTAATACGTTATTTACACTGAAAAATATATCTCTTGTAAATTACAGTAAAATGCTGTCATCTACATTTAAAAGCATGAAACAGTTATAGGATACCTACTGCAATTGAATTCTTTTTTGAATTCTTTTTTCTTTTGGATGGTTGCTTTTAGTGACAAGCATGTATGTGTGTATATATTTTGCAGGTGGTGCAAAATGAGTACAAGTCCAGTGTCTCTTAACTGAGAAAGGAAAAATCCTTTATTCTACTGTGAGATGACCAGTAGCTTGTTTTTAATAGCAGCGCTGTGGTATTGACTGATACTTGACTATACCAAATTTCATATATTTTTGCTTAATTTTTGATTTTCTTCTTTTGTAGGACCGGAGTAGAGAGAGCAGTTTTATAGGCCTCCCGCTGTCAATGCGCCGGGGTTCTTCAGAGAATAATTTGGATCTGGAGCTCAGTGATGGAAGTCCCTATGCTGCTGTCGGCTTTGAGGTCCAGCGTAGTCGCTCGTGCTTGGACAGCCTCCAGCAAAAGATACTGAAAGTCACAGAACAGATAAAGATCGAGCAAACGACACGAGATGAGAATTTAGCTGAGTATCTGAAGCTCATGGACAGTGCGGACAAGCAGCAGGTGGGGCGCATCAAGCAGGTGTTTGAGAAAAAGAACCAGAAGTCAGCTCAGAACATTGCCCAGATGCAAAAGAAGCTGGAACAGTACCATCGAAAGATGAAAGACAGTGAAAACTATCAAAGCCCTCCCGCTCGCTCTTCCTCTGTTAAACACAGCACCATACCCCGGGAGTCACCCAGACAGCTGAGGGACATGACAAGCAGTGGCCGACACCCGACCATGGACAAGATAAAAACCATTGGACCAGGTGTTTCGCTGTCTCCTCCTTTCTTCTTCAGCAAGCCCAGAGAGTTCGCCAACCTCATCAGGAACAAGTTTGGCAGCGCTGATAACATTGCCCACCTCAAAACCACTCTGGACTCTTCTTCTCCACTGTCCACTGACACTGAAGTGAAGGGACTGAGTAACAGCACCTCTATAGTGGGCAAACCCAAGTATCCCAGTGATGACGAGTGCTCCTCAGGCAGCGCTTCTGTTTCAGACAATAATGGAAACCCAGCAGGGGCAGGAGCGTCTGCAGGGCCGTGTCAGAGCCAAGCTAAGGGGGATCAAACAGGGGAAGACAACCAGGGCAGACTTGCCCTGACCCTGGAGGAGGTGAGGGAGATTAAAGATGCCCAGAATCAGCTGGAGGAGGATATAGAGGAGTTAAAGGCACAGTTCGAGAGAGAGTATGGCATTATCAGCCAATCACTGCAGGATGAGAGATACAGGTACGATTACACAACTTGGCATTTCATTATTGTTAAATAACAATAATAAGAACAGACATACCAATATAAAATGTTCATCTAAAATAAACAAGCATAACTCTAAGAGAATTTGAGATAACAATAAGCTTAATACCACGTGTCATTAACTACTTTAAAATCCGCAGTGATATGAATATTAACCATCCCCTTGTGTTGACTGGCAGGTATGAGCGTTTGGAAGACCAGCTGAATGACCTGTCAGAACTTCACCAGAATGAGATGGCAAATCTGAAGCAGGAGCTGGCCAGCATTGAGGAGAGGGTGGCCTACCAGGCTCACGAAAGGGCCAGGGACATACAGGTAAATAGTGGTGAATCTACTTATGTTGCGATGCTTCACACATAAGCAGCACGTAAGATGGATCGCAAAAATACACCATGCCTGTAAGTGTCTAATATCTCAGCACATGGCCATTGTCATCTGTCCAAGCGGCCTCTCTCTGCTGATGCAGAAGAATTCTTTTAGAGGAATTTGGGTAATTGAGTGTTTAAAGGTCAGCGAAATGCCCTTTAGCAAGTTGAGAGACGGTCTGACCCATAAAAACCCCTCTCCCCACCTTTCTCAGGAAGCCCTGGAGTCGTGTCAGACTCGCGTGTCCAAGCTGGAGCTCCAGCAGCAGCAGCAGCAGCAGACGGTCCAACTCGAGAGCCACGACGCCCGAGTCCTGCTGGGGAAGAGCATCAACGTCATGGTGGCCATCATCACCGTCATCCTGGTGTGCGTCTCCACTGCTGCCAAGTTTGCCGCTCCACTGATGAGGAGCCGGTATCATGTGGTAGCTACCTGCCTGGGGATTTGTTTTTTGACTGTATTTTGGAAGAACTGGGACCGTTTACAGTATGCCTTAGACAGGTTATTGATGCCTGCTTAGTAGGAAAGAAAACACACTGAAAATACCATTAACACAGATGCTGTAAGTTGTCAGGAGAGGACGGTCTGAGAGGATTGGTTGTACAATCGTCAGAAGACGTAGTCGCCATGCAATTACACAGATCTCTCTTTTTTTAGTCAGACTGAAATAAAACTCTTTTGATTTTTTTCTCCTCTAGAACTTGAATGTGTGTTACTAACTATTTCATATAACATTCAAATTATATTTACATAACAGCAAACTCTGCTAGTCAATAGTCAAGAGGGGGGAGGAAAAGTGATGTTTTACTATTGAGTTACTGTTTTAGGTAAATAATCCATAAATAAGATAAAGATGTGCAATTATTCTTTCTCGTTTGTCTTCAGCTTGACTTTAACATAAATCAAACTACACTCAAAAACTCAAACAAGACCTCGGTTGTCGTGTCTTGTTGTCCACGCCTATGAATTTCTAATTCCACTGGAGAGGAACGCTTCCATATTTAGGAATATTTGCATTTATTTGATATTCTGATTGCTAAATATGTGCTAGCAGACATTTCGTTTACACAAAACATAAACTGTTATATGGTTTTTAAGAGGTTTTGCTGCTGGTAGGTAGACTTTGCAAAGCTGTTCCTCAGTGTCCTCAGGCTTAGTTTTAAGGTACATTAACAGGTTGCATGAGAATGAATGACCATATTTTTCTAATTGTGAAAGTAATTGTTTCACTGGAGAATCTGCAGACAAAAATTAGCGACACTGGACATCCTATTTTTATGCATTCTCTTTCTTCTTACTTTTTTTTAAAACGTTGTCTGGCCTTGTTCTAAAGTGCAATATATTTGATTTCCAAGAGCACAGTTTGTTTTTAACAATTATTCTTTTAGGAGTGGGCGTTTTTACATCAGTGACAGGGAGCTGGAAGGAAGGAAAACAACACTAATGTTAGCACGAGAGATCCATAACCACGGAAGTCACTGCTGAGCTCTGACAAGACCAGCTGTCTCTTCTCTCAAGGGCCAAAAAAAATCAATCCATCTGCATTAGCGCATGCTAGTAGTGTAATATCAGCACACACCAGCTCTCTAGCATAGACACACAGCACAGTCGCTCACTTGGTTCACTGTATATACAGTAAATAATGTCTTAGGCTTTTTGTTTTCCCTACTTCCACTTTCATGTTGGACTTTTACTAATAATGTGACAGAGAGATGATGGGGTATACTGTGATACAATGCCTTTTTCTGAGGAAAAATGCAATTCCCTTCTTAAAAGAGCAAAAAACAAAACAAAAAAAGCCTTCACTACTCGCAGCAGAGAGGATGCAGGCGAAAAGCTCTCAGTGAAAAACTACAAGCCTATATATTTTTGTCTCTTGGACTTACAGTTGTGTTATTTCATTTTGTCTTGTAAACGTTGCCTACAAGAATTCCACATGAAGCCGTGGACCACTTTTAATGTCTGTCTGCCACAATAATCAGCTTTGCGTTTATATTTGTCGTCATCTTTCTGTTTTATTGACTGTATGATTTTTTTGTTTTGTTTTGTTTATTTGTTTGTTCCCGTTTTGACATGTTTAAAGGAAGTTTTACAAGCAGAACTAAAATCTGGTTTACATGCTGTTTTCATCTCTGGTGCACTATCTGATCAATCAGTTGTATTTTTATGCATCATGTGCCTTCGTCTAACCATTTCTGTTAAATTAAACCTTTTTAAATCAACTTGTTGATGGAATTGGTGTTGAGTGACTGTGATATTTTTGTTGTATTTGGTGTCATTCTGTAAATGTGGACTGCTGTTATAAAGCAACAAAGTTCGGTAAAACGCCATCTGAGTAAGATATTTATATCAGCGGAAAAGTATCAGTGTAGTCCTTGTTAATAATACTGATTTTTATTTCTCATTATCTTATTTTCTTATGGGATAAATAAACCTAATTCAAGCAGTCCAAGTATTTGCAAGCCTCTTCTACTAAACACTATCTCCTTCATCACCACTAGGGGGTGGTAGTGCTGCACTTTTGACATGAACGTAGGCAAGAACGGGGCAGAGCATTATACAGTCTGCATGGCAGTACTATACACGTTTATTCTTTTTTCTTTAATCTAAATGATAGATTCAGTCAAAAAGAAAAAGAAAGAAAAAAGCCATCACTTCAAACAAATATATAAACTACAAAGATTCATTGAAACAGTAATATTCAAACCAGTGTGGAGAAGTAGTGCCCTGTTCTGAAATTTACAGTTTACCCTGTACAATCACACTTCATTAGGTACACTGGGTTAACACCAGGTTGTCCCTTCTTTTGGGTTAATTCTTTGGAAACATTCCCAGAGATTGTGGTTCATATTGTAATCACGGCATCACACAACTGATGCAGTTATTCCTGCATCCAAATCTCCTGTTCCACCACATCCCAATGATGGTCTATTGAATTGGGATCTGCTGACTGTGGAGGCCATTTGAGTACAGTGAGATGCTTCTCCATAAATGAGCGGTGTGACTCCCATCCGTGTGGATTTTAGCACCCATGGGGCTGATGATCATAGATGCCTTCAGTTTAATGAATGAGCACATTACAGCGATATCAATCAGGCCCGATAGAAAATCACATCACTGTAAAGCTACAATACCTCTGAAATATTCTTTCCAACCAGATTTTGTTTATTCACTTAACTTTGAATGAACATGAAGCTCTGTGGAAGTCATCCAGATGATTTTGTCTCCTGCCACATCATCACAGTGAATGATCATCAAAGTATTATTTTTTTTGATAAAGTCTAATGTGACTCTTATTTTTTTGTGAAAATGTAAGTGCTCTTTGCTTGGCTGGATGGTCTGAGAGAGATTTTCTTTGCTACAGAAAGAAATCTGTGATTATCCACCATTGTTCAGCAGACCGGGGCTTTTAATCCTGTCAAACCAACCAATGCATTTTCTGTTTTTTTTCCCAGAACCAAAAACTGTTAATTAGCCTACTTCTAATGTTCCTGCTCTCCTCAGGACCTTTTTGTTTTTTTTAATTCAACCTGTTTAATAAAAATACAAATGATTTCTTCAGTAGTCAATGACACATTATTTTTTTCAGCACCTCAAATTAAAGATGAAAGTGCACTTGACTGATTTGTTTAAATTCTACTGTGCTGGAACAGAGAGACAAAATCGCAATTTTCTCACTGTCCAAACATTTCCGGACCTAATGGTAAAGTGTAAATTAAAACCTTGTGATAACACTTACTTACCATGACAACTCACCGAGCAGCTGAAAATTAGGCTAAGCAAATAAAATGTAGCTCGCAATGTCCTCTTCCTGAGATGTCATGGACAAGGAAGGAGGAAAAAGGCATTTGAAAGGACCCCCCCGTGCCCCCACATATCACTGAAAAGTCTCCAGGAAGTGTTGAGTGGTGCTCTGTTAAACATTGCAACTTTATAGGACAAACACATTCTATATATGGATGAATCATCAACAATCCCTGCGACCTCGTCAACAATCTGACGTCTGCAAAGCAACAGCTGATTAAGCCAGACTCATTTAGAAAAAGAAGTGGAGTGGACTGATGAAGTTAACATTAAGCTCGCTGGGCACAATCACGAAAGGTGTGTTTGAGTGAAACGGGAAAAGCGCCTGAGGTACTTGTACTTGTTGACCACCTCCACCTCCTCCCCCTCTATCTGAACCGGCAGTGGACCTTCTCTGGACCTCCCGAAGTCCACAACCAGTTCCTTAGTCTTTGAGGTGTTGAGTTGCAGGTGGTTTGTGTGACTCCATGCGACAAAGTTCCTCACCAGACTTCTGTACTCCTCTTCCTGATCATCCCAGATACACCCCATGATGGCCGTGTCATCTGCAAACTTCTGAATGTGGCATAATTCAGAGTTGTAGCAGAAGTCAGAGGTGTACAGGGTGAAGAGAAGAGGGGACAGCACAGTTCCCTGTGGTGCTCCTGTGCTGCTGACCACGTGTCAGACGTGATGTCCTTCAGCCTGACGTACTGTGGTCTGTCGGTGAGGTAGTCGGAGATCCAAGCGACCAGGCAGGGGTCCACCTCCATCCTGTTCAGTTTTTCCTGAAGCATACAGGGCCGGATGGTATTAAAGGCACTGGAAAAGTCAAGAAACAGGATCCTGACCGTGCCTTTTCCCCCATCCAGGTGTGAGTGGGCTCTGTGTAGGAGGTACAGGATGGCATCCTCCACTCCGACACCCGCCTTGTATGCAAACTGTAGTGGGTCCTGGGCATGTTGTACCTGTGGTCGGAGGAGGTTGAGGAAGAGCCGCTCTAGAGTCTTCATAAGATGTGACGTCAGTGCCACCGGTCGGAAGTCATTCAGCTCATTGGGCCGGTTCTTTTTGGGGACCGGGACGATGCAGGATGTCTTCCATAGGGCGGGCACTCTCCCCAGTCGCAGACTGAGGTTGAAGACTCGTTGTAGCGGCTCCCCAAGTTCAGCAGCACACGCCTTTAGCATCCTAGGACACACCTTGTCTGGGCCTGCTGCCTTTCTGGGGCGAAGCTTCCTCAGTTGTCTCCTGACCTGATCCACTGTGACACTGGGAGATGTTTGGGAGGAGGGGAGGGGGGGAGATGTCTTGCTGCTGAGAGAGGGATTGGAGGAGGGGGGTGTCATGGTGTCAGGAAGGGGGGGAAGCGAGGGAGGTAGGAGAGTGGGGATTGGACTCTGTAGTGAAGGTGAGGGTGAGGGTGGGGGGGTTGTGGGCTGGTCAAACCTGTTGAAGAAGTTGTTAATCATAGGTGTGAAAATATTCTGCTTTTGGGGGTTTGTGTGGCAGTCAGAGGTACAGGAAACACTGCACAGTTAAGAGGGAAGAACAGATTTAGTGCTTACTTTACGGGCTTTGCTTTTGCAATATGCCAAGACTACTGTTTGTTTGTTTTTTAAGTTTAAGTTTGTGAAACAGCAGCAATGTATTAGTATTTAAAGGATGTTCAGTGTTTGACACAATACACCCGAAATGAACCCCAGTGCGTGGTTAAACTCAGATGCAGTGCAATACGGTTCACCTGGCTCAGCATGTGCATGGTAATGTCTGTGTGATTAGCGCGTGCCTGCCAAGCAGAGATACAGACACATGGTGAGACACAGGAACAGGAATGCTGATGATGGACACGTTGCTTAACCGGGGTCCCTCTGGCTCTGGTTCTCACTGAAGTTCAACACTGAAATGGTGACTTGCTTATGCATAAGTCTCTCTCTGTCTCTGAGTGTGTGTGTGTGTGTGTGTGTGTGTGTGTGTGTGTGTGTGTGTGTGTGTGTGTGTGTGTGTGTGTGTGTGTGTGTGTGTGTGTGTGTGTGTGTGTGTGT